GATCGGATCGGATCGGTAGTTGCACCTGCACCAAATTCCTGTCGAGAAGCTACCTCCGTGGGACAGACTAAGGCTGCACGCCGAACGGTAATGAGCTGATTTCACTTCTCTACTTTGGCTTTACTACGTAGGCAAGATACCACATAAGTAAAATCAATGGACGCTCATGACGAGTCGAGCACAAACATTTCGTCGAACGCAAACACTTCATCGAGTGGATATCGGCGATCTCACAGTCACAAGCGTTCCGACATTTGGTCTTTCATTCGTGAGAACGATGAAGGTTCCTATACCTGCTTGCTGTGCCCTACAGACTCAGCTTGTCGATGGTCATCTATTGCACACACCACTTTTCGCCGCCATCTTAAACGGTACCATCGTGACGAATATTCCGGAGGAGACGACGAGGCTTCAGTGGCTGCAATGGATTCCAAGCAAACGAAGTTACTTGCGTTTGGTTTTGAACGTTTTGTAAAGCAGCGCACTTTTGACAAAGCTGCGGCCGATGATCAGCTTGTGGACTTGATCGTGATGAACTCACTTCCGTTTAATTTGGTGGAAAAGAAAGCGTTTCGATCATTTTGTAAGATTCTTGAAGCCGATTACACGCCTCCAACTCGTAAAACGGTGCGCAAGAAGGTCATACAACGCTGGACATGTGAAGAACAGGAGTGGTCTCGGCACATGACTCTGAATGACACACACGAGCGGAACTGCAAGACACGCAATAGTTCCCAGTGGAGTCGCCGTGTTCCGAAAAGTTATCTGCAATCCATTTGTACTGCTGTCAACTTCATGGAGCAACGATAGGAAATAACTGAACAAGGAAACGTAGCGCAGTTGCTGGAGCTGCTACCACCTTCATGTACTTCTGGGAGCTCCAGGCTCTTACCACGTCGACCACTGTGCACACCACACTCGCGACATCGACTTCAATCACCCAGAACGTGGCACACAATAGATATACACCCAGGATCTACGCAAGATCTGTTTCGACTCATCCGATTAATGCCAAGCTCCACACAGCAAGTACGATCGTCTTCAGCCCATAGTCCACATCCACCCAGTTCGCTTCAATCGCCGGAACAGCATTCGGCTTTGCATCAATTTCCAAATGACGTGACAGCGCTTTTCAAAGTCCAGTGGTGGGTAAAGAGGTGATGTATCTGGTCGATGATGTCGTGGAATGACGGGGCACGAGACTGCACTAGAAAGCCGACCTCTGGAACCGTCGTGGGGAAGTTACCCGGAGAGAGCCACTACCTACTAGAGGACACGCTCAAACGTCCATCAACGCTGCGACAATGACAGGAGCATCATGGACTTATTCGTAGCAGGAACACTGAATGGATCTTCGTTTGGAGACATTTTTCCTGGTCATTGGACTTTACCTAGGTGTTATTGGTGCTAGCAGGCTGCTCAATGATCCCACAACTGGGCTCCATTTGTTCTTACACGAAGATCCGACAGCTAAGATCGCATTCGCTGTGGCATTCACCACGGTGTATTCAATGAGCTCCATGTCTGCAATGGATTAAAACCCATTTAATATATCGCTCGTAGACGTGAAAGTATCATGAACCCCGAAGCTATACACGTCCTGAACGTCTCTCCGTCAATTTGAAAGGGCCGTTCGTCGTCGTCGCTTTGGTTTCCAAACATTCATCTACTTCCCTATGGGGTACGACGATCCGGCATTACAGATACAACTGCATGCCCAAAGTCTCCTTCATCGTCAAACACACATGTGTCACCACGGTGTACGCATTGTAGACATTACAGATACAACTGCATGCCCAAAGTCTCCTTCATCGTCAAACACACATGTGTCACCACGGTGTACGC